GGAGGAGGAGGAGGAGGAGGAGTTTGGATTTATACCCCGCCCTTCACTAGCCAAAGGTGCCTCAGAGTGGCTAACAAACTCCTTTCCCTTCCCTTCCCCTCCCCACAACACACATCCTGTGAGGTAGGTGGGGCTGAGAGAGCTCTTCACAGAGACTGCTCTTTTTCAAGAACAGCCCTTATCAGAACTATGACTTGCCCAAGGTCATCCAGCAGGTGCAAGTGGAGGAGTGGGGAATCAAACCTGGTTCTCCCAGATTAGAGTCCGCGCACTTAACCACTACACCAAACTGGATTGTGGGAAGAAGTACGGAATGTCACGGAAAAACATAGGAATGTCTATTATGACAGACACACCTTGCTCATTTAGGAACTGGAGAACTATCTACTACATTGTTTACCATACTCTGCTACTTGGGAACATCATTCTGTCTGGCCACTGCTACACAGCATTTTTTATTATGCTGCAAATATGATAATATAATATGCTACTCCACAACAGACAGGCTAATAATGTGCTTATAAGGTGATTGCTATGAGCAAGCTATAGCCAGCATTTACGAGAAGTAACACAAGGAATTCTAGTATTTCAGTATTTGTTTCTTTTTAAGGATGATGTACAAAACTACATGTCCAATGAGGAGATGGCATGCAGAAAGGACGACTTCAAAAGGCATTTAACTAAATGACACAGCAAGTGAGTAGACACTCCATTCCATTAAGTCCAGTAACTCTGAGCTAACTTATATATAGAAATTACTTAAAACAATAACAGGACATGCTATAGTGCCTATATGAGCTTCAGGAATTCTTTACAAATCTGCATAATGCTCTCTTGCCATTAACTGGTCTAAGTAGGTCTGGATTCCTATTTTAAGCTGCCACTATGTACTTTGTCCTGATCTAGATATCATCACATAGCCAGAGATGCTGTAATACAAGATGTTTCTATGTGCAGCAGCTGCTAGTGACAGATATACAGACCATAGGTGGACAGATTTTTATCACTTGTGTTCAGAAACAGCTGTCTGCATCTGCATGCAAATATCAGAAACATTTCAGAGCTCATGGATACATTCCAGCAATCTAATAGGATACTGAGACATGCTAATTTGCATGTTTGTTGATAGGGGAGTGCAGCCACTCCCCTCATCTGCGCAAGATACTCTGTATCAGGATTCTGTTGGGTTACACTACTTAAGGCAGAAATGTGTACCTGTGCCCCCTCCCCATATCATTTTGGGTGTGAGATTATAAACAGCCCTATTGTGTGTAGTAGAACTTCAAAGGATAAGGGAGTTTTATTTAATCTTCTTTGGTGTTAAAGCAACTCAGACAATTTCTGGCTATGCTCTTTACAGCTGCAAGTCTTACTACTTTTCACTGGGGCATGGAGGGAGGACCAAAAAAGATAACAGCAATGCTTTAAAAAGGCCTTAGACATTAATTTAATTAACACATCTTCATATCTTGTATACTGGATGTCTTGGCACTTTCTACTATACAATTCATATGTGAGAGACGTAAAAGACCAGCAGGTCCAGAGGCATGTGTTACTTCTAATGTAAATTGCTCTTTTGAAAACAAGAAGTACTTGGCAAATTTTATTTTCAAAAGAACCTGTCATAACTGACACATGTGTGTCCTAACTAGGGGTGTGCACTCGGCTACAGCCGA